ACAGGTGCGATTAGGGGAAGGTCAGGGGCAGAGAAGCACCCCTCCCACCTGGAAATGCTGAGTCCAGGGTGAAGGCTACATGCGCTGGGTTCTGCTTCATTTTACAGAGAGGCCATGCCCCAGGCTCAGCACCGCTGCCCCGCACTGCTCCCCGGCTCTGAATTCTCGCCAAACACTCCAAAACCCATCCTTCCGCACCCACTGGCCTCTGGTGGTCTCCTGGGGGTTGCTCCTGTCTCCCAGCGGGACAGGGAGCTCTTCTGGAGCACAGCATGACGTCCTGTGGCTGCGGGGGCATCCACGCAGGACCCTGCGGGCAAATGTGGTGGGTGGTGGATGGAAGAGTTAACACAGGGGTGGGCAAACTTTTTGACTCGAGGGCCACAATGGGTTCTTAAACTGGACCGGAGGGCCGGAACAAAAGCATGGATGGAGTGTTTGTGTGAACTAATATAAATTCAAAGTAAACATCATTACATAAAAGGGTACGGTCTTTTTTTTTTTTTAGTTTTATTCATTTCAAACGGGCCGGATCCGGCCCGCGGGCCGTAGTTTGCCCACGGCTGGTTAACAGATGCCAACTGTGGGTCACGTGCCCCCTGCCGCCGCCCCCGCACAAAGCATTACATATTTTTTGTTCTCTACGCAGACATCGTCAACTGTGACCTGAAATCCACGCTGCGAGTGTTGTACAACCTCTTCACCAAGTACCGGAACGTGGACTGAGGGGCAGACCGTACCGTCCTCCGAACCACCTTAACCTGCTTATTCCTGCCTCCCGCTCTGTGCCATCCCACAAAGTCCAGCCACAGCCCAGAAATCATGGGACCTGAATTAGGAAGGAAACGATCGGAAACTCTGGGCTGACCCACACCTCCCAGGCCCTAGGTCGGAGCCAGCAGTGGCCTCGGAAGATTGTCCCCATCCTGGTGCTGGATCCAGATTTCCCTCCGTGTCACTTGGGAACCAGCTTAGGTCCAGGAGACACCCCCCACCCCCCACCCCCACAGAAGATGAAAATAGAGATAATAGTTACCATGTAATGGGTGTAAACTCTGTGCCAGACATCACACTAAGTGCTCTGATGTACTCAAACTTGTTAGTTCTCGTGACTTCCGCCGAAGCAGGTGTTACACACCCCTTTCCCAGATGAGGAAAAGGCTCAGAGAGGTAAAGAGACTTGCCAGAACTTGGCATTTGTTTTTCCTCTTTGAACAACATACATATTTGTTAATAACTAGCCAATTACATCAACGTTCTTTGCCTGTCCTATGGTTGTATGTGTATGTGTGCACTCACACCCACAAAGAAGACAGGCGCCCACTGACCTCGCCACTAAGCAGGCCAGGAGGGCTTAGTGATTCACACTCAAATTGGCAAATTTAATCCAATTAATAGTGTATGTGTGGCAGGAATCATGTCCCTCAGCTCCTTTGTACAAATGAAAATTACTCTTAATTCCTTCAGATTTGTAATAACCCCATGCTCTGGTTTCAGGGTGACATTTGGGAAGGATTCTGTTTAAAATTAATGGAGTGGCACATTTCACAACCTTTTTGCTTGATTGCATGTAATGGAAGTGCCCCATATTTTACTGCAAAATAAGTACTCAATTCATTATCATTAGGCAAATGTATAATATACGCCGGCACCACCGAGAGCTGGGCATAGACCCACGTGAGCATGGCTTGGGAAGTAGGGCTCTTCACCAGGGACCCTTGAACTTTAAAGAAAGGAACTCCTCTTTGCCTTCTAATTGATCATTTAGACCATTCCTGGCTAAGTCTGCCCACATGCAATTACCGGCTAATTCAGGCGAGGAAAAATGTAAGCCATTCAGACCCAAGCCGAGCCGTTTCCGTGCGTGGGCTACTGGCGGGCTTATGGGGACTTGCATCCCCCCTCTGTGAACCCAGCTTGGAAACACAAGGCTCTAGTTGTCCCAGGCTGCCTGGGCCTGTGCGAATAAGAAAGGGGCTAAAGTAGGGGTGACTAGGAGGACAGAAGCATGGGGGGCGGGGGAGTATTTGCACACTTAACAATAAGGAAGTACCCTCAGACGAGAGACAGGGCTTGTGGGGTTTACAGTCTTCGTAAACTGGCCAAGGCCTTGGGATAATTAGTAACTCTTACTGGTCTATCTTCATTGTAGAATCTTCCCAAATATGCCAGATGGGCCCAGCCTGTGTGCCCGCCTCCAGAAGTCTGTGCCCATTGCACAAAGCCCTCTTCTAGTCTGAGGAATTCATTTTGATCCCCATCTACGCCACCCAGAGCTGGGCCTCCCATATTGTCCAAAGCATTTCCTTCCAGCTCCTAAACATTTCCTCCTCTGCGGTCCATCTGCAGTGGCTCAGAACCCATACAATTTACAGATAATACATATTCCTTTGGATATTGTGCTCTAAGAAAGCATTGTTAATCAGCATAATGAGCACTTAAGGTGCAAAGACAATGTACTCTTGTGTCAATTGATGTGGAAGGATACAATTATTTTTTACATAAGTAGTGAAATGTTATGTTTTTCATTAGGAAATACTAAATAGTGTAATATTTGTTTGTTCTCTTTTGAATTCCTGATAGCAAATCAATGAAAGTCGTTGCTTTGTCTCCTTGAGCCGTACTAAAGCGGGTGAAATAAGAGCAATGAATACTACATTTAAAGCTTTGCTTTCCGAATTTTCTCCCTTGGTTTGTCTTTTATTTTCCTATATTCAAGCTGCAAATGCACACTGTAAGGAGTGTCCTTATTAAGACCACTCCTTTTTGTGTTTTACACACACACGGCATGAAAACACCTCGGAACACTTGGGAAGTTTAATCACAGGTCTAATTTATCAGCATATTGTTTCAAGACTGAGGCCTTAGACTCAGTCCAGAATCCCAGGGCCTGGGCCTGCTTTTATCACCCTGTCATCTCCTTTAGAGGTTTTCCTCTAAATTCTCCTGCTCAATACACGGCCATGGTTTTGAAGGGGGAAAAGGCGTCAGAACAATAAATAAACCAAACTTAACCTTTGTCTCTAAAAAAAAAAATAATAATAACCTGAGACAAAAAAATATAGTCTTTATAGGCTCACTCTTTTTCTTTTCTAAATTTAAGTTCATTGATTGTTTAATAGTTAATATATAAATGGTACAAAATTCAAGAAGCATGAATGAATATCCCTGCCCCCAGCAGCCAATCCTCCTCCCTAGAGGTTACTATTTTGATCCATTTCTTATATTCCCTTCCAGAGATAATCCAGCCATAAGAGCATCAACATACATATAAGATTGTTGGGGATTTTAAAAAATATAAATAGCATATTATATATTCTGTCAGGCTCGTTGCTTTTTCCACTTAATGTTATATGTTGGAGATTATTTTACACTGAGTATGAAAACCTTTTACATTTTAAAGATGAGACTCTGAGCACTCTGTAAACCCAAAGGCCCATCTCTGGTCCGCTTGAGCGAGGAAGTGAAAGCCTTACCCAAAGGTGGTGATGCTACCTAGGTAGTGACTTCAAAAGTCGGAGACTGAGACCTACCGGGTGGGGAGTAGGTCTCACAGGACATGTTACCGGAGACATTCCCATGTGCCCTGAACTGATTTTTTGTCAGTCTTCCTTTGGATTATTATGGTGAGTGGTGTGCAGTTTGATTACGCTTTCATTTGTACATCATTACGAGGGCTGCTAATGTGAAATCGACTAAGTACCCTACCGTGTTCTGCTGCAAGCCCAGCAGCCACATGCTGCTCCTCTGTCAGTCAGGAGGCTCCGGTTTCACATGTGCAGGCACAGAGCTGACATTTGCAAAATCTGGGAGAAGGGCTCTTTAACAGCACATCATCAGCGTTGCCCGTGTTGGTTGCAGTTTGCAATTGCTACTCTCGGTACTTTTTAATTATGAAATACTGTTAGCTTAGCTATATCATTATCAATTTATTTTGTTGTGGGTTGCCTGGTTAACCCTACAAAGTGTACTGAAGCCTATTTGCATCAACAGTGTCCTAGGGCTATAATTTTCCAATAACTAGGCTCTCAGACATGTATACATTGTGGTTCAAATATGAATTATCCATACTCCAGTGCTAGAGCAAAGGCATACATAATCCTCTCCCCCCAAATTATCACCAATTTATTTTTCCACTGGAAAATGAAACTAGACAAAGTTGGTAGGTCAGGCAGTTTGGTCCTAAGTAGAAGCTGACCAAGAGGAATTTGAGACCCACTGCCTTTAACACAGTCCCACCTCAGGAACCCTACCTACATAAAATATCCTAGATATGCAAAAGGGGTATGTCCTAAAATCTTCACTAATGTTAATATTACATACAGTGTCCCCCTGTGAAATTCACTTAGGACTATTGGAAGATTAAGAGTTTCTGTGGATACAGAAAACAAGAGAACTGATTACATACAGTGTCCCCCGTGAAATTCACTTAGGTCTATTGGAAGATTCATTAAGAGTTTCTGTGGATACAGAAAACAAGAGAACTGCATTGAGATGCAAGTACTGGGTAGGAGATGGACTCACTCACCAGCTAAGGGACCTGCATCTACACACCGGCTTCTCAACATTTTTGCAGGTTCAGGTCTCAGCAAAAGACAAGTTAGCGTGTATGAATGGGTCACTGTCATAACTACAAAGACTATATCTGCCAGACTGTTACTATGTTTTTCCCTCTCTTTTATACCCCAGCTAGCTCCAGTATTTTTCAGAATTTGCTCACACTCCTGCTTTACTATGGTGCTGACTGCGTATATGCCTATGTGTTCACGACCACAAGGCACCGTGAGGGTGCTCGATGCAGGATGAGCAGCCCCCACACCATGCCTGACAACCTTTCTCCCTTCCCAGGGAGGAAGCCACCACCAGTGAAGCATCTCGAAGTGCATTCTGTGGGATGTTAATAGATGTTTAGTGTAAAAAATGTCATAATTCAAATAAGTTTGGGAAACAGGGTAAAGAAATTTAAATTCACTTTTTACAGTGTTGGTTTTCATTTTTACTTTTTGTTTTCTAATCGGAGCCCATCTCAGAGTTCCCTACACTATTGTGCATTGTAACTGTCTAAGGCAGTGGTTCTCAACCTTCTGGCCCTTTAAATACAGTTCCTCATGTTGTGACCCAACCATAAAATTATTTTCGTTGCTACTTCATAACTGTAATGTTGCTACTGTTATGAATCGTAATGTAAATATCTGATATGCAGGATGGTCTTAGGCGACCCCTGTGAAAGGGTCGTTCGACCACCAAAGGGGTCGCGACCCACAGGTTGAGAACCGCTACTCTAGGGTGTCACAGCGGACTTGAGTGTAGTCTTCTGCTTCTCAGGGAAGGTCATCTGGAGTTCAGGCCCAGCTCCCTTTGTGAGCCAATGATCACAGGAAGGAAGCAGCTGTGTTCTTAGCACAACACAGTCTGGGTCACTGTCCTTAGGAAATAGCATCAAAACTATGTGAATAGGTCATTCACAACAACACGGATGGACCTAGAGGGTATCATGCTGAGCGAAATGAGTCAGACAGAGAAAGCCCAATACCATAGGATTTTACTTACATGTGGAATCTGAAGAACAAAACAAACAAACAAAATAGAAAGAGACTCACAGATACAGAGAACAGACTGATGGCTGCCAGAGGGGAGGGACTGGGTGAAAAAGGTGAAGGGATTAAGAAGTACAAATTTGTAGTTACAGAATAGTCATGGGGATGTAGCATAGGAAATATAGGCAATATGGGTATTTGAATTATCAGGGGGATGACTTTGTAAAGTATATAATTGACTAACCACTATACCATACACCTGAAACTAGTATATAATAACATTGAATGTCAACTATAATCCTATATAATAAAGAGCTAATATACTAATTACACCAAACAGCAGAACGACCATCCAGATGACCTTCCAGATGAAGCTGGGCTGCACGGGCCAAGGCAGCCAGGGTCTGCGAGGGCCGCCGAGCCCTTGCATGAATTTCGTGCATCAGGCCTCTAGTTGAAAAGTAAAAATTAAAAAAAAATTATGAGAATAAAATGAAAACAAATGATGTGAATAGGGGGGTCTGTGAAGGAGAGTCATCCTTGAGCTGAGAGGTTTGCTGCATTTTAAACATTTTAAGGTCTCTGGTAAAGTCGCATTTTAAAGTGACACATGGGAGAGACCAAGATGGCGGCATAGGTAAACACCTTGTTAATAGATGTTTAGTGTAAAAAAGTCATAATTCAAATAAGTTTGGGAAACAAGGTAAAGAAATTTAAATTCACTTTCTACAGTGTTGGTTTTCATTTTTACTTTTTGTTTTCTAATCGGAGCCCATCTCAGAGTTCCCTACACTATTGTGCATTGTAACTGTCTAAGGCAGTGGTTCTCAACCTTCTGGCCCTTTAAATACAGTTCCTCATGTTGTGACCCAACCATAAAATTATTTTCGTTGCTACTTCATAACTGTAATGTTGCTACTGTTATGAATCGTAATGTAAATATCTGATATGCAGGATGGTCTTAGGCGACCCCTGTGAAAGGGTTGTTCGACCCCCAAAGGGGTCGCGACCCACAGGTTGAGAACCGCTGCTCTAAGGGGAGGCAGAATAGGGCACGTCCAGATCGCGTTGACCATGGGTCCTATTTGCCCCTGAGAAATTGGCAGGATGGTATCTTGGAACTCATCCATTCATTTAGCCATATAGTCAACAAGCATGTGCTGAGGGTCTACAACGTGTTAGGTGGGCTGTGTCTAGTGGCAAGTGAGGCGAAGGCACACTCATATAGCTCAATCTAATGGGAAAGACGCACGAAAAATAATCACAAATCAATGGCACAGAAATGTCTTAGTTAACTCTTCAATAGGTTCTTGGAAACTGCAACTTTAAGTGAAACAACAAAATGAAACCAATTTTACCATTGATTAACTGATATATACAAGAATTAAGTTCCTACAGCATATTTCTGGTCACAAAAACATCACCAAACTTCTAAGTAAAGACCCCAAACACTTCAAGTATTAAACATGAAAATGAATCTAAGAAAAGAAACTGAAATCCTTAGAGAAAACCCACTCAGACACGGAAGGACATGCCAACTTCACACAGAGAGTGGCCCCGGCCAGAAATCAATTTTTTTCCCTTATCAACATTAGAATGAAACAAAGTTAAATAAAACAATGTTATTCAAGAACCTTCTCTACTTATACCTTGTGATGACCAGTGTGGATAAGTACAAAATCTATGAAAGAGATCTGATTTAGATTTTGAAGTCAAGAGAGGTCTCTGAAAGAGAGAGAGAGAGAGGTCTCTGGTAAAGCCGCATTTTAAAGTGACACAGTGTGGATAGTACAAAATCTATGAAAGAGATCTGATTTAGATTTTGAAGTCAAGAGAGGTCTCTGAAAGAGAGAGAGAGAGAGGTCTCTGGTAAAGCCGCATTTTAAAGTGACACATGAATCGTTGAGCTACTCAGGTGAAGAGCTTGCCTTTTAAGGGAGCAGTACAGATGAGGATCCCAATTTAGGAGAAGATTGGGTCCCTGGCAGAAAGCCAGGATGGCT